AGAGGATCGTGATTACCTGAGAAAGGACACTATTTTTCCTGCCTCTTCAAAAATCTGGGGGATTTTAACACTGTTCATAGACTGTGTATTGAGTACTGAAAGAAAAATTAGTGTAGGCTTTGCATCCTCCTTCATTTTCAAGTAGATACAACGGGTGAGCTGTGTTCGGTTGGCCAGAAGACGTTCAAGAAGGCAGGAGAGGACAGATGTAGTACCTGTGCTCCCAGACAGGGAGGTGGGAAAGGGGGTTTCAGGAGTAGATAGTTTTGGTTTGGTTTTTTTGTTGTTTTTTTAGAAGCTGAAATCAAAGTTTTTTCACTCACAAATCATTTGTAGCCAAGTTTCTCTCTGAATATGATTTTCTTGCTTTTTCTCAGTTCAGTGGTGATTATATTTGATTTTGGAAACTGGTTGTTGACCAGCTCTCACTTGCCAGCCCCTTTCTAGGCTTGACTTTGCAATGAACACCACTGTGTGCCTGTGTATGGGAAAGCATAACACTTGGCTGCCAGGAACTGACTTTTGGCATCTGTGAGTGTTTCAGTTTAATGTTAGAGGTGTTCATTTTAAAGCAAGATAAACCCAGAATAAGAAGAGTTATAATTCCATGGTTTACAGGCTTTTTTATTTTTTGTGAATAATACTTGTATGGTGTTTTGACTCATCACTGTACCTGATGACCACCTGCAGAAATTAAAAATTGCAACCAGTTTTGGAGCCCACAGGGAGGGGGAATGAGTTGGTTTATTCACAGGGTCTCAGGACCATTTTGTGCTTTAAAGAGATTTGTATAAGTAAGTTATTTTAGTTTCTTCATCTTAGATTTGTTTTATCTTTATTTTGTCCTTTAACACAACCTCCCAACTGTGTGATAAATCAAGAGACTAAAGCTGTTTCGTCTCATGCGGTGGGTCTGCTGCAGGTGAGGCTCTTGCTACTGCCACGATCGAGACTCAGGTTATGGCAGTCGGATGGGCGCTTGTCATGGTTTAACCCAAGCCGGCAACTAAGCCCCACACTGCCCCTCACTCGCTGCCTCCTCGGGTGGGATGGAGGAGAGAATCAGAAGACTAAAAGTGAGGAAACCCTTGGACTGAGATAAGGACAGTTTAATGGGGAAAGCAAAAGCCGTGTGTGCCAGCAGAGCAAAACAATGAATTCATTCACCACTTCCCATCAGCAGGCAGGTGTTCAGCCATCTCCAGGAAAGCAGGGCTCCATCACGTGGTAACGGTTAATTGGGAAGACAAACGCCATCGCTCCGAACATCCCTTCCTCCCTTCCTCCCCAGCTTCATGTGCTGAGCATGACATCCTATGGTCTGGAATATCCCTTGGGTCAGTTGGGGTCAGCTGTCCCGGCTGTGTCCCCTCCCAACTCCTTGTGTCCCCCCAGCCTGTTCCTGGTGGCTTGGGGGGAGAAGCAGAAAAGCCCTTGGCTCTGTGCAAGCACTGCTCAGCAATAACGAAAACATCTCTGTATTATCAACACTGTTTTCAGCACAAATTCAAAACGTAGCCCCATATCAGCTACTATGAAGAAAATTAACTCTATCCCAGCCCAAACCAGCACAGCACTCTACTTCATTTTCGATAAATTTTGCAAGATGCCAAAAATACTACAAGCATCAGCACGTTAGTTGTGTTCCATGCTTCGATACTGCTGCTCAGAGCTGGTGAGATCCTTGTACTTGAATATTGGAGTTATTTTCGACAGATACCTTAGACAGATTTGCTTCCAGAAGGGCTTTGCCCACCTGCCTTGGCTCGTGTCTTTGATGGCCAATGCAACAGCACTTGTTGATTTTTATTTTCCTTGTAGTACAGAGGAATCCCTGGTGTGTGGTCTAGACCAGGTTGCCCAAACCGAGAGTTTGCATGTTTTGCTACGCTTCTGTCCATCTTTTCCTTGCTTGAGTGATGGTTGAAAGCGTGCCAGTACTACCTGCCAGGAAACTTTTGGGCCAGTACACTTTGTTTTTGTAATGTAAAAGGATTAGCAGGTGCCAAGTGGCATCAGGCAACCTCTTGGGGGGGGAAATTTGTCATGTGGCTATTAGACATATTGGTCCAGCTGCAGCTTCCCACCAAGGAAATGCCTAAAACCCTGAAGACCAGAAGCTGAGAAGGTGAATCACAGGAGGAATAAACATTTTTTCCCCGTTGCTTATTCTGTAGCTGTAAACATTTAGTAATGGGTGCTATTAAATAAGATAACTTAGTTTATCAGTTTTCTATAGTGACATTTGAGATGCAGAAGTTTGCACTGAATTTTACAAGTAATCCTGCTTAAAGCATGCTTGTCTGTCTTTCTCCCAGCTGCATGGCTGCAAACATTGATTGCAAACTACAGCATTATTCTTAATGTACCAACTCTCCCCAGGTAATCCTTAAACCATAGGTATGTTTATATCTTCTTTTCTTTGGGAAAGCCTAAGCAAGGGGAGCTGAAGGGCTTGCTGAGACCCTCAGCAGCAGTAGTGGGGCAATGGCTTTGAGTATCTCAGGGTCATGGCTGAAAATGGGAAAGAAAGAGGAAAGCTGGGCTGAAATGATGTGTTTCATCATTGTGCTGTTGTTAAGACTTCTTCAGTGTGGCATTTGGAGAATAATCCTGGGGTTTTTTTGTCTTAAAGTTGGCACCAAAAGGGTTTGTGTGAAACACATCAGGAGAAAAATGAAGATGAAAAGGGGTTTTAATTACTTTTTTCTGGTTATTTTTGCACCCAGTAGTGCAAATCTGACCACTCTCTGAATGCTTAGTTACACAACAACTGTGAGGAGTTGGTTCTTTTTTATTTCCCCGTCTGCAAGACTGCAGGGAGCTGTGCTGCTTGTGTTACCCCATGGAGCTGCACAATACCTGCTTCTTAATGCAGGGTGGGGGAGAGAACCGACAGCCTTTTAGACACTGATTCAAGACTTTTCTAGGCATATTCACTACTTATGAGGTTGATTTGAGATATTCAGACCCGTGTCTTATCCTTTAATAAAAGATGCTATCTTATGGTCTGCTAAAACTGGGGATATTTGAAGGCAGTTGGTAGAAAAATACTAGTTTGTGTCTTCTGGGCTGAAACTAGCAATATTATAGTAGAAGAAAGCATTGGTGCTGCTTTTGAAACAGTACTGACTGCAAATTTTTGTGTCTCTTGGGTATTGTAAAACTTCTTTGCATTCTTCAAACATGGCAGAAAGGACTACCTCTGCTTTTTAATGAAGAACACGTACTTTTCCTCTAAATGAGTTTTCCCTCTCCTTTCCCCAGCACATGACAAGGACAGAGGCTGATGTTTTGCATCTTGAGTAACCCCCAAAGTCTGTATCAGAGGACAGTAAAAAGTGCCATCTTTTTCCTAATTACCACGTGGGCCACTCAAGCAAAAGCACAAGGTGCTAAGAAACAGAATTTGTCTACCTGGGAGCTGCCTCCTGCCAGCATAGTCCATCCAAACCCCTCCAGCCCTGGCACTTTATGCGTTTCAGATGCAGTAGGAATCCCTTAGTGTCCCACTGGGAAAAGCAGCCAAAGTCTGGCTTATATGCCAATAATTAAAAAATATTTACCCCTAAATTGGCATAAGCATGGAAATTGTAATAGCTTGTTTGCCAGCAGCCTAGTTGCTATATAGCGCAGCTGAAGAGCGCTGTATATTAAAAGAAGTGTCTGGAGTTCTGCCTACACAAGGATTGAAAGCAAGGCTGGTGGAGCTGCTGGCTTTCGTCTCCCCACCTTGATCTTGGTTGGGTGCCTTGCTGGCTTTTGTGTTATCTGTGTAATTAAGCACAGAAGAGCGGTTGAGGCAGAAATGGTTAACTTACTGAGCAATACGATGTCAAGTCAGTGGTACTAAGTTGTTCCATAGGAGTTTAAAAATTAATTTTGTTGTTAAATGTCATCTTCTGGCTTGTGATCAGCTGTAGTGTAGGTCATATGTTTTCTGATAAATTTGAAGGAAATCAAGTAAGGGATCGTGAACGCTGAGATCTGTGAAACCAAAGTCGGTTGAAGTCTAATGCTGATGTTTGTAGAGATACAGAGAGTTGGGGAAAAAGAGAAGATGAAATCTGCATTATTCAGCTAGCAGAGACCTGGTGCTCCAACCCAGCACCCTCCCAAGTCAGGAAATTGCTCTTCCCTTCTCCCCTGCAGCAAAAGCCAGGAGGACATAAACTAATGCTGGGGAGGTGGATTAACGGAGAAAACTATTCTTTGCCGGAGGGCTTGTGGGAAGTTCTGCAGGGGCCTCACAGCAGCTTTTGTAAGGGTCAGGGACTGGAAGGGGCTGAGGGTGAGGAGAACTTTCTGGGACTGGGGAAGGGGAACTCTGGAGACCTCCATGAACCTTCCCTTGCTGGGACACTGGTACAGGACTTGGAGCAGAGAAGAGCTAAAATGAGACATAGTTTTTGCAAGACTTTTCTTTCCTGGTTTATTAACCACCGTTCCCCTTTATAGCAATCATGGAAGCACTCCTACGTGCGCTTCTTTTGAAGCACGTACTTGCATGTTAGCTCAGTCCTGCACAGATCTTTGATCAATCAGAAAAGGTCACTGCAGCAGCCAAATTCTCTGGATGCTAATTCAGATCTCAAAGCTGGAAGTGCATATGAAGAACACCTTAGTATTTCTTCTTGCTTTCCACCCGTTTGGACACCTGTGGACACTAGTTTGGTTTCAAGTTAAGGTAATCATCCTGCCTTTTCAAGTCCAGCTCTACAAATGCTGTCCCCTTGCAAGATAAAACTAGGAAGGCGAGATACAAAGACTTCTTCCAGAAGTTGTCCAAGGCATAGCACGTAGGGAAGATGTTGACTTATTGATGGAGACAGTCCTGGAGAAAGCAAATATTCAAATGCATTAGGATTTCTTCTTCATGAGTGTTTCCTGCAATGTTCATTTTTTGTTACAGTGCCTTCGTATGCCCTTACTCTGGATGGAGCTTTCTGCTGCATGGTCTTGTTTTCACTTCCCCCTTTCTTTTTTTCCCCCCCTTCCAGTTTGAGCGGCATGACCCAGTGGAAGGGCGGATCACGGAGCGGCAGTTCGGCAGCATGCTGCTGGCCTACAGCGGGGTGCAGTCCAAGAAACTTACTGTCATGCTGAAGCAGCTCAAGAAGCACTTCCAAGACGGAGAGGTCAGTGGCATCGGTGGCAAATTTGGGAAGTTGCAGTGGGGACAGTTGTCCTGCACTATGTTGAGAAATGAATAAGCAATCTCCATCTTAAGAAAAGCACCTGCACCTTGTCAAGCAGTGTAGGGAGATATGCTGACTTTGCAGGTGATAAATATTTTGCCAGCAGCAGGGCGATGGAAGAGGTGGGAGTGCAGTGGTCAGTGTCCAGCTTGGCGTATAGGCTTGTCCCTATTAAAATGAATGCTGTAATTTTCAAGATTTAAATTTGCTGAATGGCACCCTGGGTCTGGAGCCAGAATAAACATTGAAGACATGTTCCTAGTTACTGGCTCGACCTTAGATTAATCGGCTGCTGCGACTGGGCAGTTTATTATTTAGTTAGGAACTTATGTGAAAAATTATTTTAATTACTCATGATTTAGAGAGGCATAAGGTTGCAGATCTTACGCTCATTAATTTAGTGAGAGACCTTGGAATAAGACATCCCTGCCGAAAGGATGTGTTTTATCAGGTAAAGCAAGTATGGGCTGCTAAATTACTTCAGTATTAGAATTTCATGTCTGCTTCTATAAAGATGGATTGTTCTTTTATTAGCTAGGTTATAAACAAGTGATTCGTCAAATGAGAATGGATGGAAAGTCTTTGGCTGCGTATCGGGTCAGTCTGAGTGTTTTAGAGCTGCTTTTTCCTGACATCAGAACTGGCGTTTATTTCTTAACTGGTTTAGATGCAAAGTGTGTTATAAAACACAATTGTTGGCCAGGGTCTAGTCCTTTTTTGTCTCTTTTTGGTGCCTTAACTGGCCTCCTGTGATGTGCAGGAATCGTCAGTTCATGTGAAGGTGCTCCAGTGACTTTTCCCCCTGTTTTCTCCCTCTTTCACTGGTGCTGGAGGAGAATTTGGGCATACTGAAGCAGTGGGGCACATAGACTGATAGACTTCTCTATTAACTGCAAATAATGCCAAAAAGTTAAAAACTGGAGGAAACCGTAAGCGAGCCAAAAGGCTGTGCTCAGAGTTGCATTCCTGCCAGAGGAGTCGCGGTACCTGCAGCTTCTCATGGCTTTGGGGTGCCAGAAAGAGCACTTTTTTTTTTTTTTTGCAGATTCCCTCATGTTTTGTAGGAAAATAGACTCAATATTTAATAGGCTGTTATCAATAGATGGTGTCAACATGTCATGGGAGCTGAGATACGTTGCATTTTAATATTTGGAAATCTCACTTCTCAAGCTCTTTGTCACTGGTTTAAATAAGACCATTGATGTTTCCAAGGCTGTGTCCATTTATTTTATCTTTGAGCGAGACACTGCAGATTTAGCTTTTCCAATACCTCTGCTCCCCTTGAGTTTTAACAGGAATCATTTGATTTCTCGTGGAAAAAATAACTGAACTGTGATGTGTGTCTAACAGAAAATATCAGCTCTGTTGTTTATGTTCCCAAACTGTAGATTCTTTTGCTGTGATTTGGGGTTTTATTGTATGTATACACACACACACACACATATATATATTATTGAACGGTAGCTGGGTGTATGAGAAATTAGGCAAAGGGAGTTATTTTGGAAGGGTTCTTACAGCAGATGTTTTCTTCCTTTCATGTTTAAGCCAAGACCCTGACATCTGTGGCAGAGGAAGAACTTTTTGGTTTTACCTTATTCCTCATCCCTAAATCAGCCAGATTGTGTTTCTATTTGTAGCTAACTGGATTCAGAGCAAGTCTTTTTCTTTCTTTATTCCAAGGACTTTCAAGGAGAGGAATTGGGGAGTAGGACAAAAAAAATGACATTTGCAAGAAACAGAATTGGGGGAAAACACATGATTCCTTAGACCGGAGGGAATGAAACACCTAAAATCCTAAAACAAGATGGTCTCTCTGTTAACAAGTACAAGATATTTAATGGTTTAAGGACGTGTAAAGGATACAAGAAGCACCAGCCACTTCGCACTGGAGGCAGATAAGCCTTTTTTGCAGCCAGGGCAGCTCAAAGTCAATGTTTATGCAGAGCTAGAGAAATCAGGTACTGAAATCCTCCACTTCAGCCGGTTCTGGCTCATGGAAAATCCAGCCAGGTGCCTAACTTTGCATTGTCTTTTATACAGGAGAACCTTTTCTTGGAAATTTGTGGTTTGTTTTTTTGTCCCCTGGGGTATTGTAGAAGACCATATTCCTTGTAGATTTGTGTGCAGCCCTTTGTACCTAGATACACTTATGTACTTCTATTGGACCACCCTGGTATAGCTGTCAGTGTTTTTACATAGCTTAACTTTCCCCATCTCTTTAGAGACAGGACTGCTGTAACCAGAATCATGTTAACCACCTTTCAAGCTTTCTGGATAACTTATTCAGCAATGCGCTTGCAAAGTTTTCCTTGTAAATGAATGGAGTATTAAGCCAGAGAGCGTTCTCCCACTTGAAACTGCAGAAGCTTGACACTGGCATTGCTTCTTCCTCTGCATTTGTAACCCAGACACATGCAGAGCAAGCAGCTGCTTTGGTTGGGCTCTGCTTTACTCCTGTCCTATAAAAAGGGACTGGAGCCGGTGCTATCCACTGCTCTCCCTTTGGCTCCCAGACCTCACAGAGATGTTAAAGCCACCTGGCCGCTTCATTTATCCTGCAATACTCTGCAGTCACAGAACACCTTGTAGGTCAGAAAGGTCTATGATGCAAACACATTTTACAGGAAGAATTTTTCCCCAAATCCCTTCTTTTTCACGCTTCACTAGCCTACTTTTATAGCAGCTTAGTATCACTATCTGCACAGTTTACTAAACTGCTGTAAGTCGCCTCTACGCCGGAAGCAGTAGGGGCTTTGGCTTGCCATTGCTTTCCAAAGAAAGTGGGAGTAAAATATTTTTAATAGTGAGATGCTGGGAGAGGAATGGCAGTAATTGTACCAAACCTACCTGGCAAGCTTTACCTTGGGAATGCAATTGATCCTTGTGAGTGCTTTCTGATGAAATCTGTCAAACATCATCTTCATTGTCTGATGCAATTACCTTTTCTGCACAAGGCAACCCTGACAGCCTCCAAAATGTTAAAGCTCTGGTTTTAATCTAATCTTTAGCCATTTTCCAACATCGCTATTCTACAGTCCTGCTTTTGTGAATGGCATATTTTCTTGTATTAATTGATAGTCTTTCATTTTTATTTTTCTTGAGGAAAAAATCCCATCTTACCCTGGATACATGAACTCCTCTGCATATTCAGTGGAGCTGCCACAGTCTACTTTGTTTAAAATTACTTACGATCCTCCCCCTCAAGTTACACTTATACAGCTGCTTTTCTCCTAGTAAAAAGGACTTGACTTGTCAGTAGTATTTACAAGCAAGGTATTTGGGTTGATTCCCTAACAGCTAGAAAACCAAGCTGACTCTTCAGAGACTAATGATTTCAGGTCATCTTCTACACATGCTTTGGGGGCTGTGTAGCATATTTTCTATTGAGATGGCAGAAGGTGGGACTGAGATGTAATTCTCCCTGGCTGAAACCTGGGTTCTGAGATGAAAAGCCCTAACTTTTGCAGAAGGTGTTTGAGCTTTGGTAAGATACATGTTGCAAACAGGTATGCATTTCTGGAGTCTGCCTGCTTATGTATCACTAGTATTACTTAAGTGATGAAAGGATTCAGGCTTATGAATCAACAGCTAGATGTACAAATGCCTTGAAAGAAGTGATCATCCAGATCCCATAATCGCTACCCTAGGGCTCTCCAGATATGCAATTTCTTGTGATTCCAAATCAACATGAGTCTCTATTATATAATGGAAACATCTATTGGTCTTCCAATGGAGACATGAATAACCTACAAAGAGCCGAGCAGCACTGACAAACACATCATCAGAGAACAGGTAAGTTCCCATACTCAGACTTCTGACTGGTGAAGGTGATCGTTCATCTGACGACTTGTTGGTGTAAGCCTGAGGCTGTCTCAGTCTCTGATTTTATTTTTATTTTGGTAGCTGGAAAGGAGTTAATGCTGATGCCAGCCTCAGCAATGGAATTCATCAATAAAATACTAAATTTCATAACACTGATGGCATTTTTGCTACAGAGATTCAGTATTTCTGTCCACATGAAAGCCCAGATTTGTAGGATACCCCCATACACCATTGCTTTTGCTTTTTCAGCTGGTAAAAGACCACAAGTTTACGTACGTAAGCATATAAACGTTCCCTGTTACCCGCTGAAACAATAGCAACTGCAGTGTTTAGTGCACTAAACAAGGGGCTGTTTTGCACAGACAGCAATGCTGTTTGGCCTTGACATCTGCCTTTCATGGTGGAAAATTCCAGGAAAATGCAAAGTTGGGGCTCTTTGCATGGAATAGCTGCTGGGATGCCTTGTAGCCGCTACTGCAAACCTCAGATGTCCCAAACAGAGCAGCTAAACCACAGCACAGTGTCTTCTGCTGGCCTGAAAGTGGCCACATGCCTCCTGATTCCTGCAGGCTTTCCACGTTTTTAGTGCTCTGCTCCCAGGCAGGAGCACGTCAATCAGGAAACACATAGCAGGGAGGCATCCAGATGGGTATCTGAATTGCAGAAATCTTTTCTCCTCTAGATCTGTTGTACAAAACAGAGGGTCTTTGCAGTACTTCCTGCAGAAGTACCTGATTTATTTGATTTTTCTTTTTTTTTTTTTTTTTTTTTTTGCTAGGACAGTGTTTTATTTAATTCTGTCGTACATCTTTTAGCATGCCACTTGGGAAGCAGAGCAGGTATACATTTAAAGAAAGATCCTTGTACGGTAACTGGGGATTTTGGTTTTTTAGATCCATTGTCTGCATGTGCATTTTGTTACCTCATCCTTGTTGGTCTGGATTCACAAATCCAGCACTGACAGAGGCTGCTGTTGCACTTGTTGGTGTACACGCTGTGCAACATGCATCAGTGGTGCATTGCCGCTTGCTCAGTTATAGCAAAGATAGGAACAGGCTGCAGATTTTCTGTAATTCTTCTGCTTACAGTTCTAGAGACCCCATGTCTGTATGAGAAGATGGTAAAAAATGTGCTTTTTCTTTCAAAAAAAGATAGATGGCTTCTTCTTTGATTAGAAGTTGTTGGGAAGAGTTTGAGCAGGGTTACAATGGATCATATAAATTTATATTTGACAGTACCTGCTGAACGTGTGCTTTTCCATCCAGACCATGAAACCATGCCGTGTTATGCAGTTGGGATTTTTAGTATCTTGCTGTATCAGTCTGTCGTGCTAGACAGGATAGGAAGAGCCTGAACCTGAACTCCTCTTGACAAGCTGATTTATCTCTTCCAGAGAGGAAGGCTGAGTGGTTGTTACTGTGGTGGTGATGTACCTCCTCCATTGGCCCTGGGCCATGGCTGTGGTGGGGGAGTTTGGAGGCTGCAGCCCTTGTCCTAGCTCTGATGCAGTCGTGCTGATGCTAAACGGGTCCATAAAATTGGGCGTTGTGTTGTGTAGTGTAACTGGGTGGGGGTCCCAGAGCTGCGCTCATCAGCAGTTGCTCTCCTGGCATACTCCTTGCCGGTCAGATCGGTGCAGAGAGGAGCATGTTGCTTATCCCCTGCCTGTACATCAGCTGTGCTGGGATGCAGCGGTGCCAGTGCTGGGGAATCTTAGGATGCCTTTCCGTGACTATCCGAGTATGTGGCTGTAGGCACTCACTGAGCACACGCTTAGTTGTCCCGGGGTAAGCCAAGTCCTGGGTGACTGTGCCGGTAAGTAGAGCAGACGGCGATCCAGCCCCGCAGCCATCCTGCAACCAGCAGCAAAGCTAACTGGGGCACATTTATATGTGCTGTGATTTGCAGTGTCACCTTCTGCGACACTGGGTAAGACGTGGATCCCCACAAGGATCCCTGAATCTCTTGGGACAGACCTTGCAGCATGTGAACTATTTCATTATTGTCGTTGCAAGTGTGCCGGCTTTAAAAAAATATATAAATGAATCCTCTTGCTGCAGTCTCTTGCATCCCAACCACAGGCTCATGGTGTGTCTGCTCTTCTGGGCAAGAGCTGGCTGCATAGCAAGGGCCAGAGAAATGCTTTTTGGTCTCTGCCACTGCTGACCATGCATGACAAAGTCCTTTCCAGTTGCACAACTGGTGGGGCCGGGAGGGGAGCAGAGGTGGTTAACAAAAGTACAGGTTGCAAACCATATCCTCAAGGGCCAAAGTAGGATTATTTTGAGCGTGCAGATAAATTTCCCTCTGGCTACACCTTTGGACTGATGAGTCACTTTGTCGTTCATAATCCAGGTATTATCACGATCTCCTTTTCCCATCGCTGTAAGACTGTCTTTTCTCTGTCCTAGGGGCTGACGTTTGCGGAGGTGGAGAGCTTCTTCACTTTTCTGAAGAACATAAACGATGTGGACACAGCTTTGAGCTTCTACCACATGGCTGGAGCTTCGCTTGATAAAGGTATTAAAACTCGCGAGATGTACAGGCACTGAAAGCTTGAGGGAGCACAACTCATGCCATGTCTTTGGTGTTGGGAAGGTGTCAAATGAGCCCAGGGTGACATTAAAAATGTTACAGGGAAGAACCGTGATTTCGGTACAAGAGGTTTAACTTGCTATGTTCTTGGATAAAGAGGGATTTCAATTTTTATACTTCCCCAGTTTTAGATATAGAGGGGGGAAAAAAGGGCTGAAATATATAGCCTGAATAGATTAGGAAGCAGTGATTTAATGGTGACCAATTAGTAAGTGGTGATATCTTCAGCAGGACCATTCAGGCCTGATGTGTGCAGAGGCAAGATGACCTAGTGAGTGTATCACAGGCTCTCGTAGCAGATCCCAGGCACCCCAATGTTTCTTCTTCTTCATCCCCGTCTTCTGAAGTGACATCTTTTCTCCTTTTATAAAGTACTTGAAAATTTATTGTTGGCAAAGACAAACAGCATTATAAGAAGTTATTCTTGCAAACTGTATCTTCTGTAGAGGTGTCCATGATTGAGGCAGCAGAGGCACTAATCAGCAGTGGAGCTGGTGGTAGGAACTGTTCAACCCTTGTTTTGTTTCAGCTTTGCTTAAAAATATGAGGCTTTGCATAGAAGTGAGAGCTGTATGGCCAGATGCTGCATTTCTCATCTGAAATCCAAGTAATGGAAAGCACCTTTGGAGCTCCCAGGCGTGCTGGAGGAAAGGAGGGGGAGCACTGGAACCCCACTGAGGTCCCAGAGTGAGCATTAAAGTCTGTCTAGAACAGGCTCTCTCCAGATAACCCCACAGTCCAGAGGCTGTGCGTGGCCAGAGGAGCTGGCTGAATAAACCTCAGAGCTGGTGTTTCCTGGGCAGCTTGGTAATAGTGTGCTTTATCAATCAGACCAATCCATATCCTTCTTCATCTCATCGTGTGTTTCCTTTTCTGAGCTAATCCATATCAGATATGTCTCAGTTCTGACACTGATTAAAAAAAAAAAAAAAAAAGGAAAAAAACCCTATACCATACATTTTAAAAAAAGAAAGTCCATCTCTCTGCTGCCAGCATCTGTCACAAGTGTGTGCTTTTCTTTTCTAGATCTTTTTCTAAGAGTTGTTTTTTAAAAGCACTCAGACTGGGAATATAAAAAACGATGGCAAACTCATTAAAAGTTTTTTAGGCTAAGTGGAAACTCTTGTCTACTAGAAAGTTAAAGCTGATGTATTTAGGCAGCTGCAAAATTAAATGTTTCGGAAGTAAGGTATTCTTCCAACCACTGCTGTTGTGGGAATATTAAGACATTAATAGGTTTTTGGGCAGTGGAATTACTAAGGGAGTCATACATGTCACATCTCGTCTTGTGTGTGTCAACAGCCCTCCTCGTCTTCAATTTTTGGGGGGAAATCGTCTGTACTCTTTGTTTTAGATCACCATTATCTTAAGACTTAAAAGAACCTGATAGGATTATCTTTCATTTAAAAGTAAAAATATGAAGTACGGATGTGCTGCTGCTGCAGAGAGCTCTTTCTGCAGCGTCCCACAAGGAGGTAATAGCCCAGCAAATCCACTTTACTCAGTGTCTACAGTAAATTAGCAATTGCTGAGTCATGGAATATGTATTTTTGGAGTATTTAGGTCCCTGTGCAGTTGGTAAATCAGTGTGATTGCTGTTTAATTATGTGCAATTAATGAGCTTGTGCTGGAGCCACAGCCATTGAGCCTGGGAGTATTTGGCTGGAGTAAGTAAACCTTGGGGAGGGTTGGTGGTCCGCAGGGCATGGCTTCAGACCGCTCACAGGCTCAGCTGTCCCCGGATCCCCATCCCTGCCTGCGAGGTCCCGGCTGTTGGGAGAGATTCCTCAGGCTCAAGCAGAAGAGGAGGGTCCTGCAAATTTCCTCTTCATGTGTGTCTGTTAGCTGACACGAATTGTCCCTCGCATCCTTCTGTGCTGCTCAACCCAGAGATGCTCTGGGCGGGAGGCACAAAGACAGCACTTTGCTGTGGTCCTAATGAAGGCGCAAAGCAAGCTGCAGCGATACACCTGGGTTTTGCAGCAGGGATCTGTGTGCTCCCATGTCTAATTTGTCTGTGCATTACCCATTTCCATATGTGTGCACTCCGGAGTCTGGATATTGCACCCACAAATCAAATAAGCAATAAATGGGGTGTACTCTTCCAAAAATCAAGCTTTCGCAAGGTTGCTTGTTAAAAACCAACAAATATAAAAATTACTCATCATATGGGGAGGCGGAAGAGGATAGTTTGTGTAGCAAATAAATTGCTGCTAACCTAATGCAGCAAATGTTACTACAATTTTAGAAGGGCCGAGGGGAAAAAAAATGGATGGCATCAAACAGCCGTAGCTTGACAACCTGTTTTCTGTGTTGAATTAAAGTAGCCTCTTCTAAAAAGGATCATAAACCTGTATTTTAATGACCCATAGAATAACACACAGATTATTCGTTAGTCCATCTTTCATTTTACCAGAAACATAATAGCCGTCATTCTCTTAAATCTTAAGCATTACTTAGAAAACTTTCCCAGTCTGGGCTTACAGCCGGCAGCAGGACAGGAGCCGAATTCACCTCTTATTCCCCTTTCAAGGCGAGGGTGTGAATTGCACTTTTTTTTTGGCACCGTCTGCGGCCCGACTTTTGAAGCAGCCGTTCTGCTGGCACCAGCAGAGAGCCACGATATACCTCCTTTGTGTTTTAGGGCAAGGCACAGATGTGCTTTGCTAGAGGTGGGCCAAAGTGAGGGGAGACAGCTGAGCCTGCTGCTCACTCTGGTGGCTCGGAGTAGGGCTGGAGCCCAGGAGGGGTTAATGGGAGATCATTTTATTTGAAATGTGGAGCTTGAAACGGCTGCAGACTTGACAGGGAATTTGGAAGGAGGTAGAGGTGAGATTTGAGAGCAGCACGTATTTGTCATCAGATTGCTGCTTGCTTTAATCTGCCTTGGGAGATGGATGAAAGAAGTCAGTCCCCCATGGAGGCACAGCTCAGATTGCTCCTCTGGAGTAATGGCATGTAGTCAACGCTGGTAGTTGAGCGGGGAGGACTTCTGTAGGGTAGGTAAGGTTGGCAGGGATCTCTAAAGAACTGACAGGGTCACCTACAGCAGCTCACCCAGGGCCACCTCCAGTCAGGTTTTGGATATCTCCAAGGGTGGAGATGCCACAGCCTCTCTGGGCATGTAAGAAAGCCTGGATGAGTATTTGCGATAATTTGTAAGAAAGAGAAGAGTCAAATGATTAAATCTGGTGTCCTGCAGAGGCAAGTCAGGGTCATGGATTGTCACCTTTGCTGCCCTCACACCAGTACGTTGACGTGTGTATGTGTGCGTCCTGATGGAGTGGGACAGTGGAAGTGCTTGGCACCGTGTCCTCAAGCAGGAGGGGTCTGGAGCTCGCCTGCCCTTTGGTTTTAGTACATGTACAATTACGGTGTGGTGTTTGCTCAGCACTGATGCAACAAGTTGTTGGGCAAAGCTCCATCACAGCAGAGGACACCTGTCCACAAGGCTTTAAGAAATCAGCTCGGTAACCTAAGGACAAGCTCTCCGTAGACCAACAGCTCCTGAAAGGTGCTGAATACCTTTCAGTTTAGGAACCATTTTCTGTGTTGGAATCTCGTTTCTTATTTATGACTGCAGATATTACATAAACAGTGGATCGACTCTGCCTTTGGTCTGGTAGCTCTGCTTTTTTCCCAGAAGCATGATCTCCATGACTTTCCGTCATGCTCCCTTTGATGTCAAAACAATTTCTGCTCAGCTGCAGGGCTGCAGCTTCGCATTTTGAGAAGAAAAAGAAAAACATGCTAGGCCACAGGATTGCTTAGGGTTTGTGCATCTCTCTTCTGGATAGACAGTCCAGTATGTACATAGGCAAATGATTTGAAAAAAGTTAAATAGACTTTTGCTAGCTATATTGTCAATGATGGCATCCAAGGTTTCCAGCTAGAATGCTTAAATGAAACGTGAATATCAATGTGAGACTCTATGTAGCCTGATTCCTGGGAACCCAAAATACATGTGTCCTGCCTCTGCAGCCTGGGACCGCCCAGGGCAGGGACCCCTGCTCCCATCACCCTGGGTGCTATTCAGGAAATGAAGGCAGCAGCCCAACTGCCCATTATTTTGGCCAAATGTATAACTATTCTCAAGATGGAGGAAAATAGTGAAGTTTGCCATCTGGCTAGGCTCTCGCCCATAGAAAAGCCCTGTTTGTAAGCACTTGGTGAGGCATTACTCACGGTGTGGTTCTGGGAATTGGAGTGAAAAAAAAAACCCAAACGACTGTGTCAGACACTAAACTGGCATAAAATAACTCAGATGGCTCACTGAAGGAACCAGTGGGAGACACTAACACTTGAAATTTTAAAAGCCACGTAGCTTTTCAAGATAGAAACATGGAACTCATTTTCGGTGGTATAAAATCCAGGAGACTTGCCTGTGTAGAGATGGATGCAGCCATCCCAAACCCCCAAATCTGGACAAGCTCTGTTTTAGGAGATGTTGCCCCCGACAGCACCTACTTTGTTTTGCGAAATGGTAAAGAATTGACACTGGGAGGTTTACTTCAAGTTTATTTGCCTCACCAAGATACCTTGTAGCCTGGAGTGTGTGCATCAAAGTGGAAAGCAGAAACACTTTCCCCTTCCTTATGACTCCTTAAAAACCAGCAGAATCGTTACTGAGCACAGCACAGTTACGCAGCCCCTGTGAAATAACGTTTTTGCAGAATTCTTGCATTGAGCAAGAACAATGTGATGGAGATGACTGTTGCGCAGTTGTGTTAGTAAGAGAGGAAGCAGTAACCAGCAGCTGTACGTACAAATTACAGCTGGTAAAACTGCGTCCGTGAAAAATAAATAAGCACATGTCAAAAAGGAGGGAGGGATCAGGTGACACCCTGTAGAGAGGGAAGGAAGGGGGTGAAAACTCAGCAGAAAAACATGACTTACAGTTAAAGAAATCATTCTAACTTTTTTTCTTTTCCATATAAGGCTATAGCAAATAACTTCTTCATTAGGGTACCTGGGGCACCAGGAGGAGAGGATGGTATCAAAGCTTGGTTGAGCATCTTTAAAGATTTACATTTCAAAGGAGTTAAATGAAATTCTCAGTGTTGCTGCCTGAGGAAATACAGATTTGCTTTTGCTGTCTGAAGGTCTGGGTCTTGGGTGAGAGATGGCTTACAGTGCTTAAAACCTCTGCCGTTGCCAAAGTTGAGGTGTTTTAAAGTCCCTCCCCAGCAGAAGGACTTTCTGGAGAAAAAAATAAGCTGAGAAATAAGTTTAGATAAACTTTCTTTTACTTAAACTTCCTCTTTTTCCTTGAGCTTTACACGTTACTGAAGTCCCCCGCCAGCGCGTGTGGCAGGTAGGAGTTACAGTGCATGTTTTGCAGCTGTCTGGAGCCAGGACTGTATATAGGGAACGAGCATCACCTAACTGGGGAAGAGAAAGGTGCCTTTTACAAAGGCATATATAAAATCCAGAGGCAGGGCATTTAACTTGGTAAAAAGGCCTATGCCATCCACTGTTCGGCTCCAGCGTTTCCTGCCACTTCATGTTCATGGCATTTGATCAAAGAGGACCTATAGGTACTGCATTATACCTATGCAACTTATAGTCACCCTCTCCTCTGGTTTGGGGTATGTGCGATGCTGGCCGTCAGTCCCTCCCTCTCAGATCAAGGGGTAAAGCTGAAGGCAGCATTATTTCATTTGTGAACGTTTGATGTCAATGTAAGTTAATTAAATGGTGGACCATTAAAGCCCTTTTTGGAGGGCTGCTGCCATCTAATGCACCCGCTCACTTGTGTTGCAGTTCATTCACTCGATGGTGTTAGATCTTGCAGGCTAATTTGTATGTATTGTGCCGTGTGCATGGCATGGTATATTCTGCAGCCTGGTTGGCATGGGTGGGCTGGGAGAGACGTGTGGTCTCCCCGCAGCTTGGTTGGCAAGGTTCGGGCATAAGGCTGGGAACAAAATTAATTCAAGTTTTCTTTAATGATTACATTGCCTCTGCCCTCCCTAAAGCAGGCTCTGGCTGCCAGCAGGACACATACAGAAGTAACGGCCATATACTGACTTATGGTGACAGAACTGAAATATATAGTAGTTACTGCAGACCAGAGTTACATCTCTCATGTTGGAAAGGATTTTAACTCAAAAAGAATAATTACAAGGAAGCAGTGGATGCCTACTTGAGATTGTATATATATTTTAATCCACCTTCTGTTTAATTTCAGTTTTCTCCTGTGTTATTTAGTAAAAGAAGGGATTTTATAGGGAAATCCCCCCCTGAAAACCCCAAACCTCACTCAGGGGAGCAGAAATGGGGTGGAAGGAACCAATAATCTGAACATTTATGAAAAAAAATCCTATTAGAAACACTTTATGTGGTTTCTAATTAATCTGGTTACGGTATAGATTGGGTGCTTATTTTTTCCTTTCTGACACGTAACTGCAAAATTTCTGAAGGGCCAATAGCTCTGCAAATGGACCAGTGTGCATGAACCCAGAAGGATGCTGTGGATGAAAGCAGAGGCTTTTTTTTGGTTTCAATCTGATTTTGTGTTGTACCCTTTCCCTGTTTTGCCTCGCTGAAGGGAAGCACGCAGCTAAACATTCATCCCAGTTGCTGCGGGCTCGCTGCTGCAGTGCAAAGTCTCTCTGGAAGGGTTTTCCTTGGGTCAGACTTTGTAGGGAAGCAATTTAACTTAAAATACGTTCACGTTCATGCAAAGCCCTTCTGTTTTATTGAGTATCTGGAAGGGAGCAGGGTGTTTCAGCCCTGACAGTGACAACTGAGCTGCTCTTACCTCCCCTCCTTCCTTTAATTAGCAGCCGTCAAAGGGAGACTAGAGGGCAGCCAGACGCACATGAATACATGTAGGGAAACAGCTAAACCAGTCAGGGCGGGGGGTGGGGTGGTGGTGTTCCCTTTATGCAGCAAAATCTACTGCATAACTCTGCCAGATTGATAACTCTGGAGATTGCTCTTTTCTAGAGGTGTGAATAAAACTACCACTCGCTTCTTTGCTGATGAGCTCAGCTGCCAGTGGCTGGGGGGGGAAGTGAAATAATTCATTACAACTCTTTATTTTATTGCAAGGTTAACCTTGGCTGCTCGCTGCAGAGCTTGTCACGAGGAGAGGGTAGATGGGTTTGTTCTACAACTGGCCCTGGGTTGCTTAACAGGAAAACTGGTTTTTATTATTCCCAGCCTGTTGGAATAGTTGGTTCATAGAGTATCATCTTTGCAACACTGTCAGAAGGAGCTGCCTTATTGATCAAGCCCATCAGGAGAGGTTTCCCACCTGGTGTTTGATGTAGTGCTGACACTTCTTCCAATTTTTATAACCAAAGTGGGGAAAAAACATCTCAGTGTTTTTAACGTTTATCTTGAACACAGGTATCGGCACATCAGTGTTCACCAGCAGCCTCTCCGCACCCCATGCAGTGTTGCTGTAGGAAGGCAAAGGCTTTGAGAAGCATGGTTTTTGAGGCATGTGCTGAACGGGCTGGGGATGAAGCTTATTTCAAGCCTCTTTGAACATAACACATTTTCGTAAAGGCAGTTTTCCATGGAGGAACAAGAGTCTTCTGCTCCTCTGCCTGCGTTCGCTGCGGTTGGCAGATCATGACATCTCGCTAACCTTGTGCCCTCCCTCCGTTGCAGTGACGATGCAGCAAGTGGCCAGGACGGTGGCCAAGGTGGAGCTCTCCGACCACGTGTGCGACGTAGTGTTCGCGCTCTTCGACTGTGACGGTGAGTGACCCCAACCTCGCCCCATTCCTCTCAGCCAGGCTGGGTGAGAGTTGATCTGGGGGAAGAAATATAAGGGAAAAAAATGCCAGCCATGAAAGCTTGCCATGGCCTTGGATCTTCTTGCCGTGCTACCATCTGCTTTTTGGCCGTGGATCTGTACTGATGCTCCTGCCCTTCTAGGAATGGTATCTGATGGTACGCAGCTTCTGAGATGTTGATCTTAAAGCACTGGATGCAAGCGTTTGGCATGCACAGCTTGCTACACAGCTTCCCCCCCAAACTCTTATTTTGTTTAACAAAATGAGCTATTGTGCTCCAGTGTTGGAAACACGCCTATCTGGTACTTTGTTATCTCCAAAGTCCTGGACAAATATCAGCTTAATTAATTAATGGCAGCTCTGTGCCCTGCTGGGAAGCTCATTGCTTTGCTGGCCCGCAGAGGATGCGAGCACTTTGGCGTAGCTTGTTGCCACACTGAAGCAGTCTTGGGTTGATTTAATGAGAATTAGTGGAGTCTTTGCTACCATGGGATGATGGCAGCAATGCAGGCTTGGAAAGTAGCAAAATTCTGCATTTGCCCAAAACTGTCAAGCCAAAACTAGAGACTTTCTGGCACCCTGCTTCTCCAGGACAGTCACCAGGATCTGGCAGCTCTGAGCGGCAGCACTGATGCATAAATAGACAGTTGTTTGCTTTCTGATATAAATATGAACGTTAAAAAAAAAATCTTTATTTTCTTCCTTGTCCCTCTTGGTTTCAGCCCCAGCTGCTTATTTGTGCCTTTCTAAGGTTGCATCTCTTGTTTTATTTTTCTGTGTGCTTCAGTGCCACTCTCTGATACGATCCTCAAGCCAGATAATCAGGCTGGAGATTAGAGTGAACCAAAATGTAGCCATGTATTCTGTTTGCATCCTCTCATGGGAGAATCTGCTAAATATTTTGATAGCAAACCTGGGGGGAAAGACTGTGGTTGTCAGAAGAGTCCCTGAAAAGAAGGAAGCGGGTGGAAAAGCAGGCGCAGACGTGTGTGTGTGTGTGTGTGTTTATAGACATTACCATGCACACATCAAAAACCTGCAGCACCAGAGGGAATTTTACTCACCCCTTGAGAGTTTGCTGGGATTTTGCTGTCCAGATTTGCATTCAGATGTAAGGCAGGAAAAAAGCTCTCAAATGAAGAAACTCGTTCATGAAATATAATGATGTAGTTCCCTGTATCAGCCGGAGAGATTCTCTCTCTTTTGATCTGGGGAACCGATGGCACTGGCAGGTTCGTTTCTTGAGGGCTGATGTCCCTCATCTTTCTTCATGCCCAAAGGCAGGTTGCTTTCCTGTGCTGCTTCCCAGAAGCTAAAACCAGTGCTATGAGCTGTGTGCCATAGGCAGGGGAGCAAAACAGGCAACCAGATACATGCGGCATCGTGGCAGAAGGCATCAGCCGCTCAGCAGACAGGCGTCAGGCTGTTGGTCGCACCCTGGCTTGCTGCTGTCCCCCTCCGATCAACCAGCGCCCTAAATAAAAATCCCAGAGGTTTTAATTTACTGGTGGTTAAGCAACTACAGAATAAACTTTGTCCCAATTTACTATACTCTTATTTTTAACATGAATTTAATTGACATAATTCTCAATAACCTCACTAGATTACTTTAATGAATCTTCCTTTCTACTCCATTAAGAAAAATCTGCACTCCGTTACCCTGTGCTACTGTAATTTCCTGTATCACTTAAAGTGGAGAGTTTCCTGCGGGTGCACGGGCATTTGCTTTGCATTTGCTTTTTTGTCTTCAAGCTCCAGCACTCCAGGCCCTGCAAGACATGGTGGTGCCAGGCTAAGCAGGGCAGCATCCTTAGGGTTGGGATTTACATGCTGTGGTTCGGCAACCTTTGCTCAGCAGGCTATTTTGGAAGGTTGAAGCCAAACATGATTTCGGTCTCTGCAAGAAATGACGCTTGTGGCTGCTGCCCTTTAAAGTTAGTGCATGTGGGGAGGAGGTTGTTGGTGGGTTTTAGTGTTTCTAATTTTTTTTTTTCTTCTCCTTCTTCTCACAGGGAACGGTGAGCTGAGCAACAAGGAGTTTGTTGCCATAATGAAGCAGCGTCTTATGAGAGGCTTGGAGAAGCCCAAGGACATGGGTTTTACGCGACTCATGCGGGCGATGTGGAAATGCGCCCAGGAGACGGCGTGGGACTTCACCATGCCCAAGGCGTAGCGGGGTTGGGGAGGAGCGCACGGCTTCCCTGTCTCAGCTCTGCCACCACTGCCTGCAGGCGTGAACACCTGCGGGACGGCACCAGGTTCTGGCGAGCCCAGACTGTTCATAACAGGAGACTTTTGTAAATCGAAGTTAGAAATCAAAGCCTGTTGTATTTGCAGCTTCTGCTTGCCACTAGCCCCTTAATATTCCTCTCAGGAAAAGGACTTTTCTTACTGCTGCCACCTCTGCTTTGTGATGTGCCCTGCCTGCAGAGCTGGGCATCGAGCGAGCTGGTGGGGCTGCACCCAAATCACTTTTATTTAGTGTTATTACGAAATGGCATGGGGTTTATTTCAATTCTTAGATTGCTCCTAAGAAAGAAGCTGTGGGATTCCTGGATAGATCGTACCAGTGGGACCTAGGAGCAGAGCCTGGAGCAGCCAGGTGGTGAGAGCACCCCAGCATTTTGGTCGGCCAAATGCTCCGTGCTCCCCCAGGCTGTCTCAGGAGGTGGATGAGACGGGTGCACCTGCAGAAAGGCTGCTTGAGCCGAGGTGCTGCCTCTGGTGTTAAGAGCAGTTAAAAGCAGTGGAGCAACTGGCTCTCCTGCATATCCTGCTTTGTGTAAGCAACCTTCTGCGGGAGGCCTCTACTTTTTTTTTTTTTTTTTTTAAATGGGGAGCCCTCTCCATGGGGAACAGGCTGAAAAATGTTATTTGCTGAGTGGTGTTCTCTCTGTAAAGTATCATGTAAAGATGTTGCTCACAACAACGTGGCTCGTGGCTCATCTCTTTCGATTGCTTCAGGTCTTCATCTAAGGCTGGTGGCGAGTCACTGGAGATGGGGTGTTTTGGAAGAGAGAGAAAAAAACGTGTTGACTTTCAGAGCTGGAAAGACAAAGCCCAGAAGTCAGTGCTGGAAAGGCCAGAGCTGCCGTATTTGCTGTCCCCCATTGCCAGCCAGCCCCAGACGAGCGGTCTGGTTTGGGATTGCCCTGTAATCGATCTGCCGTGGCCTCTGTATTGCAGAGAGGAGCCCTTTCTGTGGGTGTTTAAAGGACAGCCATGAGCTCTAGGCTTTCTTTGAGGGGATAAAACACTTTTAGAATATTTTCATACTGGGATATTGATCCTGCTATTGGGGATCACTCCATCTACTGTCATCTCTGTCCTCTCCTCTCCTGTAGTTTGCCTGCTGGTAGCGCACTCTGTTCAGGTGTTGGTCCTTGTGTAACATGTCACACGCGTTACATCGAGCAGCAAGGATGCTGGGGTGCAGGTTTCGCCCACCCTGCCTGTAGCGATAGTTGATTTTGCTGCCTGTCCTCCCTCCTCCCCGCGAGCCCAGGGCAGCTGCGGACCCTCCAGGGAAGTGCCACCCGTCTCGAAATTCTCTCTTTTGGAACAAAATGAAGCCTGTTGCGTCCCTGGTAGGACTGCATCTATCGAACAGGCTCTGCTGCGTAAACGGGGGTCGATGGCATGAAGTCTTAATTGCAGAGTTCCTCGTCCCTCGTTAGCGCTGCTCTTGGGCCAGCATCTCCCTTCAGCCCTTTCCGGGCGCAGTCCCGGGTTCAAGGAGCTGTTTAAAAGGCAGGAACCTTTAAAATGCCATTTAATTACTTTTTTGTCTTAATCTGACACAACTCCCGAAGGGGTGTTATCGCCCCTCGTGAGAGCGAGGTGCGGGCGGATGCCCCTTTTTTTAGGGGCAGCCCTAAATTTGGGGGGGTGTGGTGCCGAGGCAGCGATGGGAGGGGAAGGGAGCCCTGAATGCCGAACAGCGGCCTCAAACGGGCCAACGGGGCTTTCCGCCATTTTGGTTGCGGCGGGGGTGGGGGGTGTCCGCGCCAATGCAGGCGGGGGCGGGGCGCCCGTGACGCCATCAGGCCGCGCGCGCGGCCCCGCCCCCTCCCCACCCCACAC